CATTATAGATGGTTATGGATTACTTCAATTCATCACGGATGAAGGTGGACCTCCTGTGACGGTTGCAACGGTGGAATCTGGAAATGTTGAGGACAGCTCGACGTCCACTCTCTATCAACAACAAGATAAGTTGTTGGCATCATGGTTACTTACTACTGTCAGCACTGAGGTTTTACCACATCTCACTGGTCTTACCTCTGCTATTTCCATTTGGAATACTATTTCACGATTGTTTGGTGCTCGATCAAGTGCCAAGGTGTCATCACTTTTACACAGTCTTCATTCTCAACGCAAAGCTGGCCAAACGGTGAATGAGTTTCTGGCCAAAGTCAAATCCATTTGTGATATGTTATGTGCTGCAGGAAGTCCGATTGCTGAACATGAGCAAGTTAGCGTTATTCTTACCGGTCTGTCCATGGAATTTGAATCAGTCATTGCAATTGCATCTCGTGATAATGTCTCTTTAGACGTGCTCACTGAAATGTTACTTGACTGTGAAGCTTGTCATAAGGCGTTTCTCACTGAAGGAATTTCAGCAAATTTGGTTTCTAAGTCTACATGTGAAAATAAGGTGAATGAATTGGAGGATTCTGATATCACTATTGTTTCAAAACAGAATGAAGTTGTGCGTGGTCAATCTAGTGGTCGTGGTCGAGGTCGATTTGATAATCGTCCTAAATGTCAGCTTTTTGGAAAATTTGGTCACACAATGCACAAATGCTATCATCGTTTTGATAGAAATTTCACTGGTGTTGATTATGGCAATCGAAATAATGAAGGGTGGAAGCCAGCTCAAGCTCCTGTTGGAAATCAGCAGTTCTCTTCAAATGCTCATGTTCTTAATCATGCAATGAGTGCTCCTTTTCCCTCCATAAGTGCATCATTTTCATCCCCTCCTGGTTATTATTACTCTAATCCTCATTTTATGATGCCTAGTCTAGGATCTTTCCATCAAGGGGTTCCTTGGTACCCGCCACTACCTACTCATGTTGGTGTGGATTCAGTTAAAAATTCACAAGTGTTCATGGCTTCTCCAACTGGCTTTGCCTCTACTACTTCATTGCCTCGACCTGCTGCAACAACCAGCAGTACCGATCCAGTTTGGTATCCAGACACGGGGGCAACACATCATGTTGCAAATGATTCATCGTTACTAAACACTGGTATGACCTACACAGGTAATCAGTGTCTTCAAATGGGAAATGGGGAAGGTGTGACAATATCTCATATCGGTCAAAGTTACTTGCCATCTAAAACAAAGCAGCTGATTTTGCAAAATGTTTTGCATGTTCCTGACATTAAGAAACATTTACTGTCTGTTTCTCAGTTTACTCGAGATAATGATGTCTTTATTGAATTCCATCCGCTTGAATGTTTTATGAAGGATGCTCGGACACAGAGTGTGTTGTTGAAAGGGAAGCTCACAGATGAAGGACTCTATCAGCTTTAATCTCCTAAGAAGCAAATACAACTAAATAATGTGTCAAAGTCTTGTGGCTTGTTAGACTTATGGCATAGACGACTAGGGCACTCATCTGTTAGTATGGTAAAAACTGTTATGAAAACTTGTAACGTTGCTTCTAATGAAAGTTCCTTGGCTTCTGTTTGCAATGCTTACTTACAAAGTAAAGCTCACAAGCTGTCATTCACTAGTTCACTCACTGAATACACAGCTCCTTTTCAACTAGTTGTTTCTGATGTATGGGATATGCCTACTATGTGTCCTTCATTGATGTATACAGCAGATTTACCTAGCTTTACTTGATTAAAAGAAAGTAGAAGTAATGCATTGCTTTCTAAATTTTTACAAACTTATTGAGGTGCAGTTTGGAGTTAAGATTAAGAGTTTGCAGAGTGCTGGTGGAGGAGAATATCAGTCTCTAAGAGGTTGGTTTCTAACCAATGGAGTCCAGCATCGACTCTCTTGTCCAAACACATCTGAGCAAAATGGCAAGGCTGAAAGAAAACATCGTCATGTGGTTGAAATTGGGCTGGCTCTACTATCTCAAGCTTCATTACCTTTGAAATTTTGGAGCTATTCTTTCATCTCGGCTGTGTATCTTATAAATCGCTTACCTACAAAGGTGTTAAATGGGAAGTCTCCATTTCAGGTTTTACACCAACAATCTCCTGACTATTCTATGTTACGAGTGTTTGGTTGTGCTTGCTTTCCTTTGGTGAGACCATTTAATCATCATAAGCTTGAATATAGATCCAAGCAGTGTGTGTTCCTTGGATACAGTCCATCACACAAAGGATATAGATGCCTTGATGATGCTGGGAGGATGTTTGTTTCGAGGCATGTCATTTTCGATGAAAACAAATTTCCCTATGATGCATGCAAGATGACAAATCAAGAACATGCAGACTCACATGTTTCAACGTGGGAATTACCCATTGTCTTTGCTCCACAGGTTCAAACTCAACAAGGATGTGTTGATACTACTTCATCTATGAATAATATGCAAGATGAAGAAGGTGCTGAAAGTCAGCAAAATCATGAAGTAAACAGTGGAGGAGCGACTGAAAGTCAAAATGCTCATGCAACTAATAGTGAAGATGCTATTCCAGCAGAATCGAGTTCCATTACTGTTCCAATTGAAACAACACTGCCACAGATAGATATGGGAGCTGATTGTAGCTCGATATTGAACATTCATCCAATGAAAACAAGGAGTAAGAGTGGCATTTCAAAACCAAAGATTTTTCAAGTCACATCATGGATTGATGAAGAACCACATAACATTAAATAGGCTTTGGCTAGTCCACATTGGAAGGTTGTTATTCAATAATGCTTTTCTGAGAAATAAAACATGGTCTCTAGTGTCATTACCAAGTGACAGAAGGGCAGTGCACTGTAAGTGGTTGTTTCGAATCAAAAGAAATGTTGATGGTTCAATTGCTCGATATAAAGCAAGATTGGTAGCAAAGGGGTTTCTTCAACAACCAGGTATTGACTTTCATGAAGTTTTTAGTCCTGTTGTTAAACCAGTAACTGTACGTGTCATATTGACATTAGCTTTGTCAAAAGGATGGCAACTTAGGCAAGTTGACATCAATAATGCTTTTCTCAATGGAGTGCTTACAGAAGAAGTATACATGACTCAGCCCCCTGGGTTTGAATTTGGTGATAAGAAACTGGTTTGTAAGTTGCATAAAGCCATATATAGTTTAAAACAGGCACCACGTGTGTGGTTTGATAGCTTGAGAAGTTATTTAGAATCTGAAGGCTTTGTGGTAGCCAAGTCTGATTCTTCTCTTTTTATTCGAAAACGTGAAAAGTGTTTAATGTATCTACTTGTATATATTGATGATATAATCCTCACTGGCAGTAATCCGAGTGAGGTTCAAATTGTTATTGATAAATTGCATGCAAAGTTTGCCTTAAAAGATATGGGAACTCTAAACTTCTTCTTAGGAATTGAAGTCAAATATGAATCAGGAGGATTTGTTTTATGTCAACAAAAGTACATTCATGAATTGTTACAAAGCAATGGATTTGAAAGGGCAAATGGCCTTCCTACGCCTATGGTTACAAACTGCAAACTTTCAGTTAAGGATGGAAATCCAATTGAGAAAGTTACTCAATTTCGCAGCATTGTTGGAGCTCTACAGTATGTTGTTATCACTCATCCAGATATCGCCTTTGCTGTCAATCGTGTGTGTCAATTTATGTAAGCTCCTCTTGACACACATTTTCAGGCTGTGAAACGTATCTTAAGATACTTACAAGGAACGATTGACTTTGGTCTACGTTTCTTGGGGTCTTCTAGACTTTCCTTGGCAGGCTTTGCTGATGCAAGTTGGGGAGCAAATGTGGATGATAGACGTTCCACTTCTGGTTTCTGCATTTATTTTCGGGGCAACTTAGTTTCATGGAGTTCTCGAAAACAACAGGTTGTGGCTCGATCAACAGCTGAAGCAGAATATCGGAGTGTTGCGTGTCCAGCTGCTGAAATGGTATGACTTGAATCTTTATTGAGTGAATTGCACATTGTCTCTTATGGTAAACCTACTCTATGGTGTGACAATTCAAGTGCAGTTGCAGTTTGTGCCAATCCTGTTTTGCATTCTAAGTTTAAACATGTGGAGCTTGATCTCTTTTTCGTTCGAGAAATGGTTACAGCAGGGAAGTTACAAGTACATGAAGTTCCTGCATTTGAATAGGTTGCTGACGTTTTAACGAAACCATTATCTGCTCCCTTGTTTGTAAAACACAGACAGAAGTTGCTGGTTGTGCAAATCAAATGTGCAGGCTGAGAAGTTTACAAGTTTGCTGCTACAGGGAGAATGTTAGTGTTTATGCTGATTTAGAAAGGTGCAGAGTAAAGTAGTAAGGGGAATGTTAGTGTATGCTGATAATATGAATAATGTATGCATAGATTAATATGAGTCATGCATGTGTATTGTGCGTGAGGTGGTTAGAGTTTTCTTAACAAACTCTCTCTCTTTCCTATAACGTCCTAAAAATCTTTCCCTCTCTTTTTCATTTCATCATATGATGTATAAATAGCCTTGTGCTACTGCTGTAGAAAGCATGATTTCACAAATGAATGAAAGCAGTAATTCATGGTTTTTGTGTGAGTTAGTTACTTAGCTATGGTGATATTTTAACACCCCATGCAGGTTGCCAGGTGCTTTGGGCGACGTAGGTGTTGTGTTGATGTTAAGGTCGCCATGCACACCGTTGGGTAGGTCGCCATGCACTCCCGACATGTAGGTCGCCATGCACGCCCTTTCTAGGTAGATTTCAATTCGTAGAGTTGATTCTTTCCCATTTCTTTTGTTTTCTTTCGCAGGGTGATAACTGTGAATATGCACATTTGTCATGACAATGCGGTTCTAGATATGCTGATTGGCTGGATGGAACAATTGTACAAGTACCAGGATTAATTGATTACCTAAAAGCAAACTTGGCCCACTGGAAGAATAAAATAATGAGCAGAACAAACATATTTCTGCTGAGAGTTGGTTTCCAAATACCACCACAGTGGGAGTGCATGGCGACCTCACGCATGCAGAATGGCGTACATGGCGACCTAGACATCAACACACCTACGTCACTTGGAGCACCTGGCGACCTGCATGAGGACTGTAGAGTTCATCCTATCTCAGCAATTAATCTGACGAGAACATTATTTCGTGAAAAAAAAAATTGACCATCTTTAAATGCAGTCTGGTAAGAAGTACCAGATGAGCTTGTAAAGAGAGAAAAAAGTTCATAAGTGACCTACCAGATGAGCTTGTAAAGAAAGAAAGAAAGTAGAAGAAGAATGAGGTTGGGTTTTTGGGACTAGGAATAATGGGAAAAGCCATGTCGATGAATTTGCTGAAGAATGGATTCATGACGCCAGACAGAATAGTGATTATCCTGTAGGCTAGCTCCGACAGACGATTCACAAGAGAAAATTCGCCCAAAAACCAGAGAAAAAAGTCTCTAGGGTTTAATAAAATATTATAAAATCAATAACTATCTCAAAAGCAGTCCACAAGCCGGACTGTTATAGCAAAAAAAATCGTCTTTATTCGAATTTTGCCAAAAATAGCAAAAATCGTATTTATTCGAATTTTGCCAAAAATATCAAAATCCCGAAAATCACTCTAAATTGAAATTCGAAATAAAATAAGCAATCTCCCAAAAATCCGGTTTAAATCGGATTTAAATTGACTTCCTAATTAACAATCGAAATATTACCATAAATAGTAAAAAATAACTAAATCTAGTGATTCGGAGGGGAAAACGGCAGAATTTGAGGTTGAAAAAAAGGCCACATGGAGCGTAGCTCGATGTGGAGAGCGTGCGCGTCGAAAAGAGCTTTCCGGATTGGGGTCTTATGCGCGATTCTGACACCTGTAGCCAAAGTTATGGCCAAAAGACTGAAACATACTCAAAACGACCCCAATAAGGAACATGTCACAATCAATTCCCGCCTTTGCGCTGATCTGCCAACTCATGGTATCTCAGCGCCATCAACGTGCAATCTGACAGCTCAGCATCATCTGTCTCGGATCCCCCTGCATCAATTCAAGGTCACTGTCTGGAACAGAACTCTTTCTAAGGTACTCTTCTTAGGAAATATTATCATCAATCAGTTGTAGACTGTTTCCATTTTGGGATCTGATTGATGGGTTGGTGTTTGTTTTTAGTTTTATGAATTTGCTGTCTGATCCAGCTGCAGCTCTTTCGGTAAATATAATTTTTGGTATAACATGTTCGACCATTTTGAGTCTCGATAAACTGTCATTACAACAAAATATGTATTTTGGTGATTGCTTAGGTTGTTTATGATAAAGATGGTGTCCTTGAGCAAATTTGTAGCGGTAAAGGTTACATAGACATGTCGACAGCCGATCCAAAGACTTCTTGCAAAATCGGTGAGGTTATTACTTATTAGATACTCTTTAGTACTTCATAGACTTGATTCTTGGTGTTTTGTTAGTGTTGCAAAGAAAGTAAATGTCTTCTGTTGAGATATGGCAATGACAGTCAAACAATGCCATGTTCATTCAATCTTTTTAGTGTGTGTTTGAAACTCGTGTTTGACGAATATTCAGACAAGAGTACGGAGATACGACCTTCGAAAGATCATTCGATACATAGAAAAACTCGACGCTACAAGTCTGAATAAGTATTCTATTTGTTAATTATTGAAATGGTGCCAATGCTATTATGTTACTGTTTTGCTTTCATGATAAAAGTCCAAAGAGATTTTAGAAAACATTGTTTTTAAAGCTCCTTGCTGGAGGATTCTAATGAAACAAATATGATTTATTCTTTGGTATTCTCATATTTACTGATATCAATGAATGAATCTACTCATTTTTGGCTTCTGTGGGATATCTATAGGCGATCACATCAAATGATGGCCAATTCCATGAAGCCCCTGTTTCTGGTAGCAAACAACCTTCAGAAACTGGTCAACTGGTGATTCTTGCTGCCGGAGACAAGGTAAATTGCTCGAGTAATTTTTTATATCCGTATGTGACGTTATAAAAGAAATGGTAAAATAAACTTTGATAAATAATATTTTACCGGAGGATCTTATCTAAAAGAAACACATACGAATCAAATTGGATTGCGTCAAACAGTTCATACCCATTGTGAAATTCTTTGTATTACTAACATTCCCCCACTAAAACAAAAGAATTCTTTTGTAAAACAAGAAATTTGAAGCTAAAACGTGAGAAGAGCAATATCGAGATTAGTTGCTTAAACACTAGTAAATGTATATGGAACTAGTACATAGTGATAATGAGTAATTATTCTCTTAGATAAGTGAACGAATCTTGAACTTTCTAAGATTAGAGTGAACTCATAACACACAATTAACTCCTCCATCCACTGAAGTCCTCGATGTGTCTACAAAGTATATAAACAAATGTATATATATAGCCCTCTTTTCCCAAGAATCTAGTAAGTGTAATAGAAAAACAACCTTACGTTTTTTCATAGAAGGTGGTTAATCTTTCTCACTTACATAGGTTATTTTATCAGGTTTATTTCAACATAAACCACCTAAAATTGGCATATGAACAATTAAGAGCTTTTACAATCGTTCATCCTCGCAATAGGTAAGGTGAATTTCTTCAAGTTCATTTATAAATGAACCACTTAAATTCTGGGATAAGAAATCATTAAGAATAAATATTCCATCTCATTAAGAATAAATATTCAATCTCATTAATCGGTGAATTCAATATGTGTTTCTCACTAGGATCACCTAAACTCTTAAGTTTGAATTTATTAAGAGTTTTAATAAAACTCATCATCTCTATCGGTAAGTTCATTTAGTCCTCCGCGATTAGGACTATTCACTCAACACTGGGTTATGAACTTATTAAAAATATATATTCAACAAAAAATGGGTAAATTCATCAAGTCTTTCTCACTAAGATCACTCAAAGACTTGGCTATGAATTTACTAAGAACAATTAAACTCATTTTGTGCATGTACATTATTCGTCATAGGGGTAGATAGGTAGAAATGTACACTATGAGTTTTTCCATGGTTCGTTTGACCATATTGAACTTAGTTATCTAAGTTGGGTATTCATTATGAATTCCTTAATCAATGGGCTTTTAAACCTATCCCCTCAACGAATCAAGAACCAGTTTTCGACTTTAACTATTAGTAAGCAGATCAACTAGGTTTTTGTCCAACTTTAATCATCATTTTAAGACACCCCACATTTCTAACATTTTAAGATAGAAATAAATCAATAAGTGTCTTGAATAACATGTAAACAAATTCTTTTGCACATTTACTCATTCATACTTGAGTAAAGTTTGTTATTAGTTTTAACCATAAAACTCTATTTTAACAAACTCAAATATTATGTACAAATGATTATATTCTCAAAATTTTTGAGAAGTTACTAATCATTAAGATTAGTTTTCATAATCTAAAACAATTACGAAATTCTTTATATCTTATTTTAGTCCTCCACGAATTTGTTCATTCAAAAAGAATTTTAATTTTTCCTAATTCTTTATATGGAGTGTTTAGGAAATTATGAATACTATGAGGAGTTTTCAACTTTTCCTAACAACAGGAAAATTATCTCAAGTTTACTACAAGAGATTTAATACAACTCTTGAGATAAACCATCTCTTTTTCTTTCCTTTACTTAGAAAAAAAATTCAAAAATTTTTAGTAGTTGCAATCAATCTTTTAGTAGCTACTATCAATCTTTTAGTAGCTACTATCAATCTTTTAGTAACACTAATGTCTATCATATTCTCATTCATATTATTTAATAGGTTAGCATTAAAGAGACCATCACATATTTTATTTACTATGACTAAATTTAGTATTCTACTCTACCAATTTAATCTCCACTCTTTTAACTTTTGCACTTAATTTAAAGAATTCTTATCTTGCCAGAGTATTTTATAAATTTGAATAGTAAGCATAGTAATGAACAATGCATTGTGTAGGTTTTTAAGAAAGAGAGGTGGTGCACTAGGCACGCTTAAATACCTCTTTCGTAGAACTAATCCTAGACATGCATTTCCATACTATCACATTACTTTCCAATAAATTATTTATGAATTTTTTTCATTCTTTAGTAAAGGTGTCTTTAAAAATTATGCTTGATATTTCACTCAAAATAGTATTTTATTAAGTGTACATATTTTTGGGCTCACTACTACCTTAGCCTTAGGCTTAGTCATTGTAATAGTGGTTTGTTTAAGTCCATAACATTTCCACTAAGAATTAAAGATTAACTTAAAGGCTCATTTGTTCTAATTCATGTATTTATAAAGCATGAGTTAACGTAACAAGTCTAAATAATCTAATCTCACATGTAGAATCATAATTCCCAAATAGATTTGTTCACTCTCATCATGCGTGCAAGTTCAATCTTGGCGTCATCTTTATCCAAAAAAGACCCAAAATCTAGGATGACAATCACTTCATTTGAATTAACATCTCTCTTGAATTTGTTAATTTTGTACCCAAATGAAGATTTTACACTGCTAGTCTAAAAAAATGACTTACTAACCGTAATAGATAATTAATAGTAATAAATTCTTATTTTCTCAATCATATCTCTTTATTACAGCTTTATCAGTTCTGTTTTCAACTCAAAATGATCTTTGAAAGATAAATATATAATTGTCATGTTACCTTTACAAATTTCTCGAAAGAAAATATTAGTATGATAAATCTAAATTAAATTAACAATTTTAAAGCTAATCTTAACTTCATTGTGTAATACAGTGAAACTCATAAACCGTCATTAAAACGTGACATAATAATTACGGTCTTCCATCATAATATAATGCAGTAATTAATACCATTCTTGCATTCTCCTTCGTTTCAATTCAGCCATTAAAGATAATTAATCCTAATTAAAATATATCTTTATATTCAAACGTTTATATGCAATTAATTCCATCTCAATTCAAAGGCATAGCATAAAACGTCTGCATTATTTTGCATTAAAAACCCCACTAAAGTCCATTAATTTGTTTCGATTATTTACTAAATTAGTCGGATTTCTTTATTATTATAGCAACCATCTTTATTCACAAACCATAGTCCTACCGGATCTAATAGCCACGCTTGAACTCAGTTAGACATCATATTCTTGAGTTCTATGTTAACTGCAATATAGAATAAAGTTTAACTTGACGATTTGTGCATTATCATATCAAAGCATCATCGTTTAGAAATTAAACTAAAATATTACCAGTCACCGGTGGCCTTCAATTTGGATACAAAGTCGCATTACTGATATCGTTAATGTTTGAGCAACAATATAAATTCGTTTTTAAATTGTTAGAAAGTAGATTACTGTAAAACGAGATATTAATACTGACTGAAAAAATATAAAATTAATTATATAATTAAAGAACTGATTAATCGTGTTGTGGTATTAACCACGACCTTAGAAGCGAATTTATCCTAATGTGTGTAATCACTACAATAGTCGAATGACTCCCGAAAGATGGAGTGGACTTAGGTGGTACTATTCTTCTCTCATCTCAAACAACAGTCAGAATAGGAAGAGTGTTTCAAAAGCAAACAATTGCTTAGAATATTTCTCTTGAAGTACCGTATGAAATAAAAAATTAAACATCTATTTATAGGCTTAACATAGGAGTAAAATGGTAAAAGATCCAATAACAGTTACAAAATAATTAATTGTCATGACATTATTATAATAACCATAAATTATATTAAATATTTTGTAACGGTTATAACGGTAAAAATAGACTGATAAATAATATTTTATCAGGAGGATCTTATCTAAAAGAGACACATACGAACCGAATTGGACTACGCCAAACAATTTATACCCAACGTAAAATACTTTGTATTATCTACAGGATGATGGAGATATGGCTGTATATAAACTCTCAAAGTACATGGAAAAACTTTATGGTCATAAACAAAGGTGCATTTAAAGATGCTTGAAAACGACAGCTTCACAAATTAGGGGATAACCGAAAGCTTTATGGTCATTTTTGGGTTTCATTTATATGATTTTCTTGAATTTTTAGTGGTTATTTATTAAGGGTTATATTGGTTTATTCTAAGGATAATTGAAAGGTTTTTTTATCATTTTTAATTTGATTCAAAATAAAGGAGGTTTCTTATGGTTTCTTTAATATGTATTCATAATGAGGGGTTTTTAGTGTTATCCACGGGATTTTGTTAGGGTTTTATTTTTTTATACCTTTATAATTGTTTCAGTGAGGGATTTTGTTTGTTTGTATGTATATGAAATATGTTTTTTTATGGTTCATTAGAATTGAGTTATTGTACATATAAAATGCTTTTTTAAACCTTTATTGTCATGTGATTGTATACCTTTTATAATATGTTTTTTCTGATATTGTATGCTTCATATTTTATAAATATATGTAAAATGTGTATAATAACAATAAGATTCAATAGTGTATAAATACAATAAGATAAAAATAGTATGTATAAGCCATATATATAAACATTATGTTTAAATATAGTATGTGTAGACACCATATTTCGTCCTTATTGTATAATGTATATATTATATAATATAATATATATATATATATATATATTATTTACATATTTTTTTCTTTTTATTTTACAGGCCCAAACAAAACAGCCCCAAAACCCGTAGCCCAATAGTGGTTCAAGTGCAGTAACCCGTTACATCTGTAACCCAGTAACACGCGACCCGACGGGCAGACCCAGACTCTAGTGGAACCCGACTCGATCCGGCCCAGATCTAAATGGGTTAGGTCTTTTCGAACCCTAGCCAAGAATTTATCGTCAGCGCCGCGCTTCCACCTTTTCGAAGACCCATTCCTCACGCAACCATCGTCGGAGATTTCAGCACTCACAACATCAACAAACAACAAGCAAGTTAGTCCCATGGAACTCTCAACCAACCGAAAATTATAGTCTCAATAGGAGTCTAAAATAGATTTTTTAGCATTATAAATAGGATGTAAATCAAACACAAGAGGGAGAGGAAAATACTAGAGAAAATACACAAAAGTTTCTGAGCAATCGAAGCGAAAAAGTTGTCAAAAATTTCGAAACCCATTTGAAATAAAAGATACATTTTTTATCTTGTTTTGTTGCCCATCTCGCTTGAATGATGCTTCCATTTTTGCTTTTGTTTGTTTTTTAACCCAAATGAGGGTGGCGTCGATGAAAAAAGGGGGAAGGATTATAAACTTTCAATCTAGATCTAGCCTCCCCGAGGTATTTTTTTTCTAAAAAACAACCTCATATTCGAAGAGATGGAATAAAGAGCTTTTAAAAAAGTACAAAATTTTTTCCGACCACCACCGATGAACGACGGCTTGCGAGGCGGTGGTCGGCCAGAATCTGGAAACCACGATGGTGTTCTTCGTTTGATGAAGAACACCCTATGAACAATTGAGAGAAAACAAAGGGGGGGCTTTTAATCAATTTTGGGGTGTTTTAAAAATGAAACTTTGTTTATGGGATTGGGTTTTATACCCAACCTGTGGAGCACCCGCCGACCTGACCCGAGGATTACTAGATCCGTTTGTTTTTTCATTAAAAAAGGGAGAATTATGTTTTTGGTCCCCCCTGTTTTTTGAATATTTTATTTTGGCCCATTTCATTCAATCTAATCCCAAATTTCCTTTTAAATTGGCCCCAATTTTGATTTTATTTCAAATTAACCCTCTTATTATGATTATAAATATTTTTATAAATTTATTTTTATCTTCTTTATTCTTTGTTTTTAATATTTTTATTTTTGGTTTATTATTATTATTATTTATTTATTTATATTTATTATTTTATTTTATTCTTATTTACTTATATATTTTTATTTATATATGTGTATATATATATATATGTATGTATATTTTACCTTATTATTATTATTTTTACCTAATATTTTATATATATGTATTGTATTTTTTTTTATTTTTTTTACTTATTTTATTAAATACTATATTATATATATATATATATATCACCTCACATTTATTAGTTAGGGCCCCCTCCTCTTTTTTTCTTCCTTCCCGTCATCTCTCATTCACCAAACTTTTACTTTTTTTCCCTTTTCGATGAAGTGATTATTTTCTTTTTTTTATTATTTTTTTCTCTTTTCTTTATTTTGTTTGTTCTCATTATTTTTTTTAAATACCTATTAATTTATATATATTTTTACATGTTCAGTTTTTATTTTATTTGTTTTTTTATCCTTTCATTTTCATTTTATATGTATATATATATATATATTTTTTTCTTCTTAAATTTTTTTCTATTTTTTTCATTTTTATGTTTGTTGTATTTCTGTTTCTGTCTTCCTTATTTGATTATTTCTTTCATTGCTCCTTATTTTTAGTTTTGGTTATTAATTTTATTTTGCCTTATTTTTAGCTTTATTTTTATTTATTTAATTTTTCTTTTTTATTTCTTTATATTTTTTGTTTATTATCTCCATATTGATGCATTTTTTACCTTAATTCGATTATGTGCTTCATTATAAGTCTAGTATTTCTATATTTTAAGGGTCTTCGTTTAAGTCTATTAGATGTAAGTAATTTGGATCAATTTTTACCTTTTTTTTAATTTAACTTTCAATTTTCGTAATTAAGATAACTTGAAATTAAGTAGTACCGAAACGGCGGTTCAAGGATGGTAACCCTTCCTTGACTGTAACCGACTCCCAAATTCGACATATCACTGGTAAGATGCAGATCATGAAAGAAAAAAGGTATCCGATCAACCCATTTGTTCTTAAAATAAATGATCGGTGGTGACTTTAATAATTTAATCCAAGTCGAAGCCCAATTCCGGGCCCACCTGAAAAACGATTCCCACAGCTTGGCGACTCCGCTGGGCACAAGGTAAGCGAGTCAGGCTATGGTAATTTCCAGTTGTTTTTTTAATGAAAAGTGTAAGTTTAAACTTTAAGGTAACTTTTCGATCCTTATTACTTACTTTTGATTATGGTTTTCAAATAAATAGTTGTACTGACGGTCTTCTTTAAATGATTTCAACCTTTTAAGTTTATTTTCATATAAGGCTCTATACTCGAGCTCCGAACCCTATTTAAGTAGGGGTAAAAGCGACACTCTCGTGAGAATTTATTCTCTGTGTGGGCCTAGCAAGTAACCTTCGGGATTCATATATCTTATGCTTTCGTGTGAATTTATTCTCCGTATGGGCATAAGGGAATGTATCCTCTCGAGTTTAACTTAGTACATACAAACTTGTAATGGGCTTAGGACTAAGGATCTGGCAAGCCCAAGGGGGCACTAGCAAGGAGAACTCGGGTACCATTTTTTTTAGAACCTAAACCGAGAGATTATAGGGAGTTAGAGCCCTCCCCAAAGTCTCATTTCAAACCATAGGCTATTTTGAGTTCATTTTCTACCTTATTTTATGTTCAAAGCATGCGAACTAGAAATTTATACGGTTAGGACTTGTGCAAAACCAACTTACGGACTAGAGATCATGTCCGGGTAGGAATACTAAGCATATGGGGTAGATATCATGTGGGGTAGGACTTTTATTTTCATCATTGTTTTAATTATTATCCTTACCTCACTAATTCTTTTCATTTTTGTTTTCTGTCATTTTAATTTTCATAATTTGCATCATTAAAAAACGAGGTGTTGATCCACAAAAAAACATGTTCGTTAAACGTAAATAATTTGCATTAATGGACAAAAGGGTTATAATACAAGAGATGAAAAGCTCAGAAGTCCAACTATGGTTAGAGAATACTCAGGATGAACTGGGATTTACATTGTGCACATCGAAAGTCAACTTTTTTGAGTTGGTAAAAGTTGAAGGGGCAGAAGAGAAAAAGGTTATTGACCTGGAGAGTCTCTTCAAAGACAACAAGAACAAGATGGCAAGGCGATAGTTGAAACTGGAGGCCATTGTTGACAAATTCAAGAAGCAAGTAGATAAACTTCGGATAGTTCCTATCGATGGAGGGCTCCAATGGCGCTTTTATTAGGAACAGACTCAGCAAAGAGTGAAATCCAGAGATGCAGTCATTCGAGACTTTTTTGAGCAAGTAGCTTGTCTTGCACAGTTTAGCCAGAGAAGCCGGAACGGTTCGACAGGGTATTCAACCGATGACAGAAAAAAGGCGGAAGAAGAATCAACCTGTTAGAAACTGTTCGGAGTCTAGAAGAATATACCTTTAAAATATTTTTGTCTCTTAAGAAGTAACATTTTTGTCCCCAATAAGGATTATTTATAATAACAGACACATTTTTTGATCGATGCCTTGAACATTTCATGCATCATGCATTCTTGCATATTTTGCATTATCTTTTCTTCTTTCTCATTACATCCACATTAACTAACAAGAGATGTCTAATAAAAAATGAACATCGAGCTCATTCAAAGCAAAGGCAATTAAAAGAGAAACATTAAAGGCAAATTGAAGTTACTTGAAGCGTGTCTGTAAGAAGATCCAAAGTAATGAATGAGATACTAACGCGTGTTAGTAAGATTGAGAAAATTCAAGAGCAACTCATAAAAAACCAACAGGAGATAATTGATCAAGCAAGAAGATTTTAGGATGAATCAAGAGAACAAATGGCTAAGTTGATGGACATGGTAAATATTGTGATCCGTGGAGAGAAGCCACTACTGGATCCCATTTTTTATGGGACTATGAATGATGGTGCTGAAACTAAAATGACAATGACCAGAGGACCTGTAAAGGAGCCAGATACTTCATATCAGCTTCAAAAACCAAATGTGGTTGTAGAAGGTTCCACTGGGCCAACAATGGATGAGGAGCTAACGAGGGATGAAATTTCCCTTGTAAGAGATAAGTTTCACTCAAAGAAAAGAGTCATAGAAGATGACCAAATGTTAACCAAGAAAGCTAAAAATGATCAACCTCTCATGATTAGAGGTTCTAACCCTTTGCAATCATTCAGTCAGGACACTCAAGTTCTATCTATAAAGTTATTGCCAAGTAGCCTATCTTTTTGGGGACTAGATGAGAAGAAAAATAAAGTGCAGGGCTTTCAGTTCCCTCCCTTCCATTTTTTGCTTGAAAAACTACATTAAAAAATACTCACAGTCAGATTGCTTACACCGGGATATGTTCAGCCACAGTGGCCCCCCGAATGAGAAGTGGACATATAAGAAGATTCTTTATATAAGCCAGGATGGAACCCCAGTTCATTCCGTTAAGATTCCTAGCAACCCTGAGGATATTTTAGAACAAGCAGTTCAGGGGTGCAAGGTAGAAGAAAAAGGGATGAAGTCCAAAACTCGAAAGTCATCGATTCAACCGAGAATGCCTATGAATAATATAAGAGGTAAAAGAATGAAAAAGGGAATTTAAGTTGAAGGGCCTCCATGAATGTAATCCGAGAGTGGCCCGTGGGTTTGAGAATGGATGGGGAAGATATAGCTAAGAAGACACCTCAAACTGTTTCAACAGAGGATTCCTTCGGAAAACATAAGGCGCAAGAGGATAGGAAAGAAAATCCGAGCAAAAGGGCTTCCATGAATGTAGTCCGAGACTGGCCCATGGGTTTAAGAATCAGTGGGACAAACGTAGCTTTGAAAACGTCTCAAACACCTATATCAGATTTTCTTAAGGCAAGAGGGGTTCTGGGCAGATCAGAAGGCTTGATGAATATTACACCAATCACAACTGCAATATGCGTTCGGGATCCAACCAAAACTATCACCACCGAGGAAAATCGTTTTGGATCTAAATTTGGGCCCAATTTCCAACCAGGAAAAGAAATGTTGATAAATCACAAAGAAGTGATATTTTTCCCAAGAAGCTACTCAGGAGGAAGCAAAAATTTGTGCGTCTGAGGGTACGTTAAAAAGAGCCCCAACAAGTGAAACAATTGAGGAATAGGGAGCAAGTGCAGATGAAGGCCCTAATCCAACTAGTAGGGCATCATAATGAGGTCTTATTCTATTTTACAACATCCTGTTTGACTTTGTTTTTTTAACTTTCTCATATTCTTTCGTAACTTGTTTGTTTTCTGAACTCTATTTTCTTTTTATAAGGATATTTAAATGAATTTATTTTGAATGTTGAACCAAGTTTACAAACTGAAATTCTTTGAAAATCGACTGAATCAAAAACTCTGTAAATGATCGGAGTTACAGATCTTTGACATTGTGACATGGTTAAAAAATAATGACCTTTGATTTTTCCCCATAAGGAACGCTCGAACACCATAGCCTTCTCTTTTAAGAACCGATATAGCCCTCTCCTTTCATTAGGGAATAAACAAGTGGCTCGATATTAGATATACATATGAGCGGACAACATGGGGCATCTTTTTCATATGTCATTACTATACGTTTATTTAAGACGTTCAATGATGATAATGATCTTCACAGATAGAATAGCCGAGTAGGTGAATCTAGTTTAGGCCAGTTGCTTGGAAATTGAACTCTAAAGATGAAATTTTTTTACTTTCAGCAAACACCTAGACTATAATAGGTTATTCTTGACAAACTTAAGAAATTGGACTCGAATACCTATATTATAAAACAATAAAGCTTGAGTTGTCCATCTAAAGCAATTGGTTAAACGCCATGGGTTTATGGATAAGATTCAACTAGCCTGATAAAGGTGATTATAATATACAATAAAACTTGAGTTGTCCCTCTAGAGCAATTGGTTAAACGTCCCGACTTTATGTATAAAATTCAACTAGCCTGATAAAGGTGATTATAATATCTATATAATGATATCGAGATGTCCCTCTAGATCAATTGGTTAAATGCCTCGGCTTTATGGATTCAGCTAGCCATACAATGAAAAATTAAATTTATCTAAATAAGGAGTTTCGATAAAGATGGACTAAGGGAGTTAAGGAACACCTGTTATAGTCAATTTCACACGAGCAATCAGGAATTTCATTTTTAGACTGGTATTTCTGTACTACCTTTGTTAGAGGAGTCTACAAAGCTTGAACAAATGGAGGATTTCAGAGAATCGAAATAGAAGGTCTAGTAATTGATTATGCTAGTTGCGTCATTTTGTCCGCATCCGATTAAAATACCAAGCTAAGAAACAGGGGCATGTTGCGGTGTTCAAAATGACCGAGAACGAAACAACATTTCGGTGGCCAAAACCTAAGAAAGTAGGAAGCCAACCTAAAACCAACTCATTAATTTTGGAAATTTGTCAAAGAGCTATAACTCTGAAAGCGATAAAGAGCTATTGATTGTTTTGGTATTCTTTGAATTCAAGTTTATGATTTGATTCGATTGCGAACCTGGATTAAGGGGCAATGTTTTACAGGATTCTTACAGTTTTTATCTTTTTTCTTCCCTCCTAAGATAAGAGAAATGAGAAAAAAAAACATTTTAAAACAGGACAATCTCAAATGTGAAAAGTCTTGGAAGTTGTTGAGGCTTATTTTGCCTCTATTGAAGAAAGAACAAACAACGATCTTGAAAACAATCAGTTCGAGATACCAGATGGAACCTGTGACATCGTCAACAACTTGATAAGAAAATGGGGTATGGTCGATTCCAAGGACAAGACCAGCAGACAAAAATGAGGCTCCATCCAAGAGATAAAACAGAATTAATTCATGATGCATGCATCGTAGACATACTTAAGAGCATCACAATTATCATTTTTAGCATACATAATTTTTTGCAGCTTTTAGAGTCAAGTTTCAACTTCAAGACGAAAGATACTCGATTCAAAAGTACATTCAAAAGTTGATGGTGGTTGTTGAACTTCACAGCGAAGGAGCGTCTGTCAACAAACAACTTTCCAGTTTTATTCGGAGATAATTTCAACTTCACAGCGAAGGATATTGGACTTGAAACAACACAAGATTGGATTTCAACTTCACAACGAAGGATATCCAATTCAAAGCTCAACTTCACAGCGAAGGAGCATCTGTCAACAAACACCTTTCCAGTTGCATTCAGAGTCAATTTTAACTTCACAGCGAAGAATATTGGACTCGAAACAACACAAGATTGGATTTCAACTTCATAACGAACGATATCCAATTCAAAGCTCAACTTCACAGCGAATGAGCATCTGCCAACAAACACCTTTCCAGTTTCATTCATAATCAATTTCAACTTCACAGCGAAGGATATTGGACTTGAAACAACACAAGATTGGATTTCAACTTCACAACGAATGATATCCAATTCAAAGCTCAACTTCACAGCGAAGGAGCATCTGTCAACAAACACTTTTCCAGTTTCATTTAGAGTCAATTTCAACTTCACGGCGAATGATATTGGACTCGAAACAACACAATATTGGATTTCAACTTCACAACGAAGGATATCCAATTTAAAGCCCAACTTCACAACGAATGAACCATCCACGATTTCAACTTCACGACGAAGGATATTGTGCCCACAAGCAGGAAAATAACTCGAGATTGGATTTCAACTTCATAACGAAGGATATCCAACTCAAAGCCAATTTGGTGAAACTTACTCAATATTGGATTTCAACTTCACGACGAAGGATATCCAGTTCAAGACCAATTTGGTAAAACAATTCTTGGATTTCAAATTCACAACAAAGGATATCCAATTCAAAGCTCAACTTCACAATGAATGGGCCATCCACGATTTCAACTTCATGATAAAGGATATCGTGCTCAACATATTGACTTGATTTTACAGTAAATGAGTCATCGACAACAACAGGGATTCATTCCCCAACCCAGTACAACATAGCTCAAGGTGAGAAAGGCTATATGTTAACAAAAGACCTTCGAGTTCGATTACACTCAGCTCAAAGGCACATCACATTTACATCATAACTCAAGGCGAGAAGGATTATCTGTCAACCAAGACCTTCGAGTTTGATTACACTCAGCTCAAAGGCACATCAAATTTATAGCATAGCTCAAGCCGAGAAGGGTTATCTGTCAA